TTGAAACTTTTGAAAATAAATAAATAAATAAATAACCAGGGAAGTCCTTGGACAGTGTTTGGCTTTTTGGGTTTTCCTTGAGTACTGGAGTAGAGAATTCCTCCCCTAGAACTGTCAGCACAAAACAGGGTATCCGCTTTTAACTCTGATGTTTCTATTGGAGTTGAGTACTAATAACTATGAGGGAAATACATTTCTAATAAAATTCCCTACAATCTAGAAACATCCCTGTTTAAATTTTTTTACCTAAATCTTTTTGTGCTTTACATGTAAAGAATAAAAGTACCAAGATACCATGCATTTTATTAACACTATGTACATACTGGCTGCTTTGTGTTCAGAATGGTAGCAGTTGCTTTGTATATTAAAGTGATCCTTGTGAATTTGTGAAATATTGTCATAAAGTGCTTTTCTTACTGTAATCTTTGTGGTATCAACTGTCATAATGCCCTTTTTACACAGACATTTATGTGCAGACACATAAACATGCTTTTAAAACTCTGTAAAGTCTCTTTTTTGGGCTGGGATATTTCTGCTTTCTCTGTCTTTCCCTCTCCCTTCTCCCTCCCCCCCTCCCTTCTCCCTCTCTCCTCCCTCCCTCCCTCCCTTCCTCCCTCCCTCTCTCTCCTCTTGCCCCCACCACCTAGTAGCAATTTGCCCTCATTTTCTTGAATTTGAGTTTACTAATTTTGTCAACTGAGCAAAGATTACATTGAATATATCACAAGCTGTGATGCTTAGCAACAGACAATTGTAATTCACAACACATCTAAAGTCAATTTTACTAAACTTGTTTTTAGCTTTTTTTTTTTTTTCAGTAATGTTGAGCAGTGACCTAAAGATCTGCAAGTGTTGCTGTCCTGTTGAGTAGCTAATGAAGGCATGTACAGCAGCTTACAGTTAGGAAATGTGTGTATTAAAGAACAATAACAACTTCTCAGATCACCTTTATTCTGAATTAGTGATTGTGTCAATTGCAGTGGGAGACAGGTACAGTAGTATGCTTTTATAATCCCAGACTAGGGAAACATAGGAGGCAGAAACAAAGGCTAGTTTGGGCTATCTCTGGTGAGGTCCTATGGGGAAGTAGGGAAGGGTATGGTTACCATTGCCAAAGAACAAAGACTAAAAGTAAAAGGTTCCTGTAATATTCTGAGGTAAGTTCTGGAACTTTAGTTCTAAGCTGTAATATTTCCTGGTCATCAAATGCAGGCTTGAAGCTTGAGTCACTTGGATTCATGTTTCTCCCTTCTACAAAACAACCAAACTTACTGAATTACTGAGACTTCAAGAGTGTAAAGATGGAACATGGCATGGTGGTGCACACCTGTAATCGCAGCACTTGGGAAGCAGAGGCAGGCCTCATCTACATAGTGAGTTCCAGGGAAGTCAGAACTACATACTGAGACCCTTTCTTTAAACACAAGTGAAAGGCTGCTATCAGGTTTATGAGGACAAAAGGTAACCCAGAGTTGTGCCAGGCACATTACTGGTAAGCTATGGACCTCTGGAAAAATTAGAATGCCTGTCTCCATGGTGGCTGTCACCTGATGTTCATTTGAGGACATACTTCTAGAAACTGGAGGGACAGGAAGTCATTTTTCTCAAATTCTAACACATTCCTCCAAGAATATAATTGTAATAACTTTGTATAGTTGGTAGCCCTTTCCTCTGCAATGAATTCTAGACTTTGATGTTTTACACTCACTGTGAAGCACAGGTCCCAAAGAGAACTTTTAACCTCTCCAAAATCTTCATGTCCTAAATGCTGCCACTTTCCAGCAAAGTGCTATCTTCCTCCATGCTGCCTTGCCCATTAGATACTACATTTTCTCCACAGTTTAAGCAGCCATCAGATGAGAGGCTAACATCAAGTAGAAGGCAGGCTCATCTCCAGGAATATTATTTTTGCTTTTTAACTGAGATACAAGTAACAAAATTACATTGTAAACTGAAGCACTTAGCTGTAGCAGAGAATGCACTCACACACTTGTGCAACCACCATTTCTGTGTAGTTCAAAAACGTTTCCACCTGGCATTGGTGGTGCACGCCTTTAATCCCAGCACTTGGGAGGCAGAGGCAGGCAGATCTCTGATTTCAAGACCAGCCTGGCCTACAAGAGCTAGTTCCAGGACAGCCTCCAAAAGCCACAGAGAAACCCTGTCTCGAGAAGAAAAAAAAAAAAAAGTTTCCATCACCTGGATAAAATGCTACTCCCACTAAATGGTTAACTTCCCTCTTTTCTTCCTGTCTCTGGCAACCCACAATCTCCTTCCTAGGAATCTACGAATTCTGAGTATTTCATTCATACAATGTGTATGACTTTGTGTCTAGCTGTTTTCACTAAACATATTTCTGTCATATTTCTGTGACACTGGAGTTGAAACCAGTACCTGCTCATACTAGTCAAGTGCTCTGACACATCCTGTATCTTCATGTATGTGTTAACTGAACCCTGGGTTCTTGCATGCTAGGCCAGTTACCTCTGAGCTGCATCCCTTAACTTCTTTCGTGTCTGACTCCATTTTTGTTGGTTTTGGGAGGAAAACTGGAGTGGCAGAGCCACTTTCACACAAGGTTATGACATGGGTAGACTTTCTAGTCTTAGTTTTCCCTATAGCATCCCATGTTGACAGTATTTCTTTCCTGAGACTATCTCAGGATTTTTAAACTTAACCATTTCCTGGTTATACCAAGAAGCATTTACAGTTTTACAGCATTAAGAACCTTTGGGCTAACAAGCTTTCAAATGTTCAAGCACAACTGAAGACTGCCTAGCTTGCTCAGCTTGTGTGAACACGCCTCTAGCTTGCTAATGCAGCCTTCACAACAGTGATTCCCCTTATTCTTTAAAGAACTTAGGTGCTATTTTCTATGGGTTATGAGCAGCAGCAAGGTTACAAAACACATGCCTCCTACCAACTCAAGTGCTGAATCTGGCACAACTTACCAATACTGTATATATTGGTGGGTTGATTTTTTTGTTTGTTTTTAAGGTTTTATTCTGTTAAAGAACTGATAGAAAATGCTTCCAATAAAGTATAGCAGTTATCTGGGGTTATAGCAAAGTGTGTAAGAGTGAGACAGGAGGATTGGTTTAAGATCATCCTGGACTATATAACGAGACAAGGTCTCAAGGGGCAAAGAAAAGTATAGCAGTTAAACAGCATTGGCTATTGGTAAATCTTACATACATTCATGTAGCTTCATTATTGAGAGCATGTGTTGTTATTTTAATAGCCTGAGAATCTATTTCTTGGACACATTGGGGAAGGAGAGAGAAAAAGAAACAAATGAAGTTATCCATTTAGGTAAATCATCATAATGGATTTTTTTTCCATCAGTGTTATTGAGCTGCCTTTATGACCACCTAAAATTCAGTGGTATGTTATATTTCTAGTATAAACTGTATTTGTTAAGAGAATATCGCAGGCAAGCTGGGAATGATGGTATGTATCTGTTGTTTCTGGTCAGCCTGGACAACATGGCTAGGCTGTCTAAAACAGTAAGTTGTTATTCCATCCCATAAACAAATCTAACATTCAGGGCTGGAGAGGTGGCTCAGTGGTAAGGAGCACTTGCTGCTCTTTCAGAAGACCAAGTTCAATCCCCAGCACCCAGGCTGCTCACAATAACCTGTAATTCTAGCTCGATGGAATACAACTCTAGCTTCTGTACATACTAATATGCATATACCTGCACACAGGCATACATAAAATAACCAATTTTTAAAATCTGGTATTTTATTCATTTACTTCAATGAATTTCAATTCTGATTTCTATGTAAAAGAATAAATTTCTGACAATTGCACCCCTCTACAGGTATTTTCTTCAGCCCAAGGTTGTGCCCCTTTTAGCCAATAGCCAGACCACACTGAGATGTAAAGGCCTGTGTGTGTGTGTGTGTGTGTGTGTGTGTGTGTGTGTGTGTATGTTCCCCTAGGGAATCTGACTTGGAAAAATATTCCAAACCACTAAAAATTTTCACTTATAATGGCTTGTTCCATTAAGCGCATGCGTACACACACACACACACACACACACACACACACACACACACACACACACACACACACACACACACAGAGTGTTCTATTTGTAGAACACAGGGAGTAGAAGTGGCAATACTTTCACCCTTCTCTGATCCGTAGTTACTATTTTATGAAATCACACCAAGAAGCGTACTAACAGCAGCATCAGGTTTTCATTGCAATGTTGGTGATGCTGTCAGGCTTTCATTTTGTTTCAGAGCTTCAGTGTCGGGGTACAGTAGTATTTCAGAGTCAGTAAGCTATGTATGTTCCCGATTCATATCATTTATCAGAACTGTTGAAACAGGACATCACCAAATGCTCATGGCTTTTAGCCCACCTTTACTTGACTACACCTAAAATTAACTAAAACCCAAGGGGCTGGGTATACCTGTGTTCTTTCTTTCTTTCTTTCTTTCTTTTTTTGTTGTTGTTTTGTTTTGTTTTTCCAGACAGGGTTTCTCTGTGTAGCTTTGGAGCCTATCCTGGCACTCGCTCTGTAGACCAGGCTGGCCTCAAACTCACAGAGATCTGCCTGCCTCTTAATTATATCATTTGATGTGGGAAGACTCACCCTAAATACAGATGTTTGAAGATGGAACTATCCACCTAATCTGGGCCACAGCTTCCAGTGGCAGCCTATATAAAGGACATGGAAGGAGGAAACCCTCTCTTTGCCTGCTTGCCCTCACTCTCACTGGCAAGTTCATTCCTTCACTGGCATTAGAGCTTACTTCTTGGGGGATTCCAGCATATACTGAAGGCCAGATAGACATCCAGCCTTGTGGACTGAATAATTAGTAGGTACTTGGGACTCTCCATTAGTAAATAGTCATTGTTGAACTAGGTAGACTACACAGACTATAAATCACTCTTAATAATCCTCCCCCCTCACCCCCCATTCTGTTCTTCAAGAGAGGATCCTAATACATCTACCATTTTAAATAGATGTAGAAGACAATGTCAGGTACTTTCATATCCAAAATATTTATTGAAAGAAAATAAGGCCTTGAATAGTCTATACAACAAATTTCTATTATCAAATGCCATTGTGAGCTCATAATATGCCATGGTTTGAACTGCTTGAGTTTTTAGTTAAGCTTTAATGTAAAAGCAAAGCTCGTAGCTGGGTGGTGGTGGCTCACACCTTTACTCTCAGCAATCAGAAGGCAGAGACAAGTGGATCTCTGTGAGTTCGAAGCCAGCCTGGTCTACAGAGCTAGTAGAACAGTTAGGGCTGTTACACAGAGAAACCTGGTCTCTAAAGCCAAATAATAATAATAATAATAATAATAATAATAATAATAATAATAAAGAAAAGCTTGTATCGATAACTTTATTCCTAAAGTCTACACAGAGAAAACTCAAAAGCCAATAACACTGGCTAGAGATGCAGTAATTCGGGGTTAGTGTTTGCCCAGTGTGTGCACAACCTTGGGTTTGATCCCAGCACCACAAAACATCAGTGACCTCTAAATGGAATTTACCCTGATCACTTGGTTATATGCTTTTTACTGGACACTAGGGAAGGAAAGTGAGAGAGGCCTCCCAGCAGCTTGCAACCCAGCAGGAATCTTGAGATCCAAGGAGTAATTATAGGTACAATACAGGGTTTGTACCTTGGGAGCTAACCTTTATGAAAAAATGAGAGTTAATGTTTAAAAACTAACATATTAAAAGGCAGGAAAAAAAGCCACCCAAGAAACAGATACAATAACAGTGAGAAACAGCAAAGCTGAAACAAAGCATTGTGGAAGAAAATTTCAGCCCACATTTTAAATGTAAAAATTTATTTTTATTTACTTCTTTGCTTACATACCCCTGAAATCTGGTAAAAAAGGTATCTTATGAGAACCAGAAAACTCATCTTCATCTCAAGGTGCTTAAGAACTAAATAGTAGGCCAGATGCCATGGCACACATGTGTAATCCGAGCATTCAGAGGCAGAGGCAAAACAATCAGTGCAAGTCTGAGGTCAGCCTGGTCTACACCGGTTCAGTCCCAGCAGGGCTAGAGTAAGGCCTTAGCTCACAAAAAAGTAAGAGACTTCAACAGCACAAACATTTCAGGAATATATGCAGTAAACCCCGTTACACCCAGCAGCCAAGGAAACTGAGACAAACATACAGCCCAGAACATATGACTGAATCTCACCAGTTTAAAGACACCTCTACACAACTCTTTTCAGATTGTCAGTGGAAACTGCTTACCAAGTGGGCACACTGACTAAGGAAAGAACACCAGTCAAACCTCACATGTACATTTACTGCTCAGCAGTGAGCCTGTTGTAACAGACAGTTATGGCAATGGCTCAAGGTATGAATTTGTCTGCAAAGAACACAAGTGCTTTGTTCCTTGAGCAGCTCTGGTTGGACAGACTTGCAGTCTGCCATCACATTAACATGGGAATTCTGATTGTAAGACCTTAACTGACACATTGTTCTTAGAAAACAATGCCTACTACAAGTCCTCCCTCTGGTCTGTCTTCTGTGCTTTGTAAATATGTACATCCTTCTCAGGATCGTAGTGGACCTTATTCACAGTAAACTGCCTCTCCAGCATCATTAAGAAGTTATTGTCCCGTTCATAGCGAATTCTGCAAGCTAAAAGAATCACAGAGCGGCTGCTACAGAGATGTCCCAGGGTTTGAAGGAGATCTGTGAAGGTATCTTCTAAGTAAATGACATCAGCGCCAAGAATGAGATCAAATTCTCCAGGCGAAAAACTTTCCAAATTCTGTCCCCAAGTCAGCTCCTTAACAACAACTTTGGGTTGGATATGGGGAGGTAGGTTGGCTTCAACATTTGACTTAAGAAACTCTAATGCTACTTGTCGATCCGTGATAGTCACATGAGCACCTATAATATGGGACAAACAGAAAGTAAGGTGAACGTCATACAACCACAGTGGACAGAGAGGGTCTGCTCCAGTTAACACAGGGCATTATCTAACTTTCCCAGATGTTGTACAGAATACCACGACCTTCCACAGAGAGGTAACCAAACCAGAACTAGACTCCTTTTATGCTGTGTAAATAAAAAGTAACCCTTCGGCTTGCGTCTGTGGCATACCTACTGCTTGCCAAAGTGGTTCTAGTAAATTGTCAACTCAAAGAGTGACACAAGCTGATGCTCCTCAATTCTCCAAGTAGAGCTGGCCCGACCTTCATGAGTATCCACCATTCAACTTGATTCAGTGGGTCATAACCTTCAAATCAGTAGGGCTCAGGGTAAAATAAAATTCAAGACTGAAAAACCGAGAAGTTGAATATGACTATCAAGATGAGAAGATACAAATACAAGCCAAAATTCTGCTTTAGAGGGACTAATGATAAAACGGAGTTGTCACAAGAGACAACTCAGCTACTGAAAATGTCCAGACTGCCTTCATGCTGTTTTGAAACAACTGAGCTTTTATGTGATACAAACATAATTACTGAAAAACTGTCCTCTCAATTAGTGTACAGACTTAGTGTGTACTGAGTGACATGTTAAAGGGAAGTTCATGTTTTCCAAGTGCTATTCCAGATGCAAATGAGAACACTAATGGCACAGTATTTTATCATCTGCCTTTATGGGTTACTGACAGTGAACTCTAAGAGCTATTTATATTTTTTAAACCAATGTGGGTAAGAGAAAACTGAACCTCAGCCAACTATATTTGGTTAGTCTTACTATAACTCATTTATGAAGTATAATCATGTCTAGTTTTAACATCAGAAAGCTTTATATTTAAAATGGTTTATTCCTTCATAATAGTATCTTTGTGTGTGTGTGTGTGTGTGTGTGTGTGTGTGTGTGTGTGTGTGTGTGTGTGTGTGTTTTCTAAGCTCCCAAAGGATCCCAGCATCTTTCCAGCGGCAGCTTCACCAGGTGTTTCTTATCTTAATAAAACACTAAGGCCGTATGTAATTAAACCTGAGGTTTACAGTTCTAGATGGTAATGACGATAAAAATGCTGTCTGGGTCTTCAAACCTGGACCTACCACTCTACTGATTCACTGACAGACTGTGTTGTCCAATAAGCAGAATTCAATGACTGTTCTCTGAGAATGAAAACTGCAGCAGCCTTCCTGGTTTGAATTAGTACTTTTATTTGTGTATTTCTTGGCAGGGTACACAGCATTCAACTGGCAATACCAGAGTGATCTACTCATTCAAGCTTACCTCAGTACTTACTCTGAGGACTCCTCTAGTGCCTATCCTGGGGGTCTCTACCTACTAGATATGACGACACAGGATCTTAATGCCACCCGAACAATACCCTAAACATCTACCAACTCTACAAATATCTAAGTGACTACTGCTAGCCAGGGAGCCCCAGCAGTGCTCACTGCAGTCACACTTAGCTGAGCCAGCACAGGCCTACTAGGAAAATCTGCAATTTACCTAGGTTGGTTACAGCCTGGTGAAGAAGATAAGGTAAGGAAGGGCGTGACGTTGGACCAAACAAGAAGACATAAAATGGCTTCCTGTAAGATATATACTACAAGTAGAAAAACAAGTTAATATTGTTCATAAATGACAATGGAAATGGACCTAACAAAAACCAGTGGGCTGTCACTCAGGAATGGAAAAACAATGTGTAAACCTTTGTCATCACTTTTAGTTTTTATATTGTTCTTTTGGTGGGTTGGTTGGTTGGCTGTGGGTTTGGTTTTTGAGGCAGGGTTTCTCTGTGTAGCCCTGACTGTCCTGGAACTCATTCTGTAGACCAAGCTGGCCTTGAACTCAGAGATCTGCCTGCCTCTGCCTCCCCAAGTCCTGGGATCAAAGGTGTGCACCACCACTGCCCGGTTTAGTTTTTGTTTTATAAGCACTGCTTTACGTTTGATAAAACATTCATATATAACCCATGTGCTAGAAACACAAAGCTGAGCAAGAAACCCTTACCTGGAGCATAGTCTCCCGAGTGAGAAAAAGCTAAGAATAACAGTGATGCAGAGGGAGGCAGAGAGCATGGCAGGACTCACACAGAAAGAAATTCCTCAAGAAATCCCTCAAGGGAAAGCGGAACTTACGCATCAGATGAGGCCGTGAGCTGGGGAAGGAGAAAAGGCCATTCAAGGCAAAAGGCAGCAGGCATAAGCAGTATGGGTCCTGGGAACTTCTCAAAACATGAAAGAAACTGATAAACTCTATAGGATGAGACTACAAAACCTTGCCAACAAGCCAGGGATGTGGTCTGCAGCAACAGAAAGGTACCGGATGTTTAAACACAGACCACACCATCAATTAATAGCACATTTTAGATAAGTATCTGGCAGCTACTCCAGGAAGTGAGTCTGAGAAAGCAGAGACCAGGTGGGCGGAGGCTACAGTCATGCAGGGAACAGATGGGGAGGGCTCCAGTCAACATTAGAGAAATAGTCATGACACAAAGTTCCGGGCTGCTGAATTTGAAACCATAACTCATTAACTAACTCTGTGGTCCCATCCATTATACCACATGAAGAGAACGTAAGTCCACCAGTTCCACTTGTCATGCAGGCTTTTGTAAGAATGACACTAATGTACAGTCTATCCCTCAACTCTGGTGATACTAGGAAAATGGTCTAATGTAAAACAAAGAAGGAAAGGGGAGAGGTAGGGAACAGCCAGGAGAATGCTAGTGTGCAGGAATGCAGGTCCAAGGCTCAGCTGTTATAGAATGATAGCAAGTGAGCAGACAGCATCTTCCTGAGCACTGTATTTTAGGACAGGAGTCTCCAGGCTTAACTGGGCATCAAATTACACAGATTTTTTTAAATGCGGTTTCTCCAACCCAACCCAACTTACAGAATTCTATCTTCAAAATGGGATTTGTTTTCTCCCATGTATAAGTAGTTCCCAAGTAGCATAAAGATTTGGGGGGGGGGGTCCCGAACTAAAACCCTGTTTAAAAGTCTTGCCATAATCCATAGCTGTGTAACCTTGAGCAAGTTACTTACTTCCATTAACTCTTTGTCAACACTTAAGGAAAGCTCATGGTTGAGTTTACTTATTATACAGGTCACTGTGAGAATGACCCTGGGAATATGCAGCCTAACTGCACACAGAACTGCTCCTCTTACAGAGGAAGCCTCACACCCAATAGTAACTAACATTCTGCATAGTATCATCTACTTTTTATAAAATCTGTCTTTACCTAGTCCTTCCCTCTAGACTAAGAAAGTAAGTAAGCTTCCTAAGATGCCAATCTGCCTGTCTGGTCACAGTGTGCTGCTCACACTGACCCAGCAGGCACTTGGTAAGTAATCCCTGGATTCAAGGATAAATGACTGAGTGCCAAAACACAAACTTGAAAAAGACAACAACCAATCCCTTTCCAAATGTCTCAAAATCACTACATGTTTTAGTTCTGTTTCTATTTTTAAAACTTTTTCTTACTCTCAGTTTTTAGCATCAAAATGTCTCCAATCTAATACTTTGTAGTGAGTATGAAAATCATGCAGCAACACAAATGCTTATGATAGGCATAGGAAGAGACACACTTGTACAGACGCACACAGACATAAAACCATAATGACAACTGTGATTATGTAAAATGCACATGGAGAAATACATCAAAATGCAAATAGGAATCCTGCTGCAATGCTAATCATTTCTGTAATAAACTTGTATCAGTCTTATTATTTTTCATAATTTCCAAAAAAGTCATCAATCTAGTTGGTTTATGGTTTGTTTGTTTGTTTAAGTTTTAAACTATGTGTATACCATGTGTGAGCACAGGTGCCCAGAGACGAACCTCCTTCAGTGTCTCTGGCCAAAAAGCAAGGTCAGCTGGTTGTTTCTCAGCTTCTCTGATCTAGCAGGTTTTCACCCCACATCTGACTTTGGAATCTTTGCTGGTAAATAGATTTAAACCTATATTATCAATGGCCACTGTAGAGCAGGGTGTGGGACCAAAAGCCCCATCAGGCCACAGTGGGGTGCTGACTTTGCAGGCTATGCCCCCCATGCTGAAGACAACAATTAAAATATCAATGGATTCATGTGCAGCCACTAAGCCAACAGAAACACATTATAGTCTTTGCTTCTAGACAAACGAAACAATGTATATCTTAAAAAAAAATTTAGCCTTCATTTTTATTTTATGCATGTGGGTATTCTGCCTGCATGTAGTCTGTCTGTACACCACTTACATAGGTTTCTATGGAACCAGAAGAGGGTGCTGGATCCCCTGGCACTGAAGTTATAGGCTGCACGGGGCTGCTGGGAATCAAACCCAGGTTGTCTGGAAAAGCAGCCAGTGCTCTTAACTTCTGATCCATTCCTAGCCTCTAAGTATACTTTATCCATTAACCCCACCATTGTTCTCCAATCAAGACTGAAGAAAGCAACACCGACTATAGAACCAAAACAGAAAAGGGAATACTGAAAACTAATGAGTCATCAGAGAAGAGAAAAAGTAGGACAACAGAGACTTAGGTTGGGACTAAAATATCAGTAGAGTACAAATAATTCAATGTTCTGCTATTCTAGACCCCCCTACCCCAATCAGTTTCCTCTGAGAACCAGCCATTTTCTCAACAATGAGAGATTAAATCTAGTAGTCTATGGGCTTAGCACTTTAAACCAAAGAAAGTGTACACAAGGGTTATTGTCCAATGCTGTCTGCATCATAAAATCAAAGAGAGCAAGGTGATCTCTCAGTAGAAGTATAAGAGGATGAGAGAAAGAGAAGAAATTATAGTCAGCCCCCAGAGCTGAGAACGCCAGCCAGTAGCCCACAACTCATAAGCATTGGAAAAAGAAGTTAGCTCAGTAAGGGGATCCCAACCACAAGGAAACAGCAAGTGTATCTCTCAATGAGTTCTGCTCATAAGTAATAAGCTAGCCCATTGCACTCACCCAGCAGGGCAGCCACTATGCCCACGAGCCCTGTGCCAGCACCCAGCTCCACAACAGAGCAGCCCCTGAGCTCCACGGCACCCATCTCCAGATACGTGGAAAGAACGATGGCCTGAGTCAGAACACAATATGATTATGATTAAGGTCTGTAAATATTTGAAGAGCTGTATGGCTTCAAGATGCCAAATGCTGGCAGGAAGAAACAATGACCCAACATCCATATTCTCTCTTTCTCCCCTCCCTTCTTCTCTCTTCTTCCCTCTCTGCCTGCAAAGTAAAATTCCCCACCCACAGGAACTTACCTGCTGCTATAAGGTAATCTATTAGAGCAAGCACAGGCACAGTGGTGCCAAAGCTCCTGAAGTATGGTACATGTCAGCCAGGGGGCAGCTACATCTAAAAAGCTTGCTGTTTTACTGTACTGAAGCACATTTCATGAAGTTTACAAAACTATTCTGAAGAAGTGACTTGATGATCTCTGATTTTCTTTAAAGCAATGTCCAGGTCTTGAGCCAAACTACAAAGACTCATTACAGTGCCCACTGCTCTCTGGGCCCTGCTGCTGAGTCACCGACAGAGACCCTGGTCATGTTCTGTACATCAGAAGGTAGATTTTTCATCTAGTTTTATAATTCCACATATTCAGTGAGCATCTGTTTACAATCCCATAATTTTTACTTTTTTTTCATAGCTTTATACTAGGAGTATAATAGAAGTGTCTTCATGCCAATCATTTACTTAACGAAGACAGAGCTATCAGAAGCACAAAAGCAAGAATGTTTTCCAACTATAGAAAACTTAAAACATGATGTTAATTTCGGGTTCTGTTTCCATACTTCTTTGTGTGGTATTTCGGAAACTAACCTAATAGTGACCAGGACAAATAGGCTCCTGTTTTCCTTTTAGTTTTCTGGTACTCATAGGGCAATCACTGGTGGGTCATTTCACTTCCCTCAGCTTTCAAAATGCAATGTATGTAAGGGGACTCCGGGATGACGAAAAGTTTATAAACAGAGAGTAGTAGTGAGTGCGCTGCTATGAATGAACTGAACAACCCAGGGCTTTTGTTACATTGGAAGAGAGCACATGTGAATTATATCTCAATAAAACAATCAATTTCCTTTTTAAAATTATAATCTAGTCAAGACTGCAGACGTTTTCAGAGGCCCTCCAGAATTGACTTACCGCGTCCCAAACCACTGCCGCGACTCCCAGTTGCCTCCAGTCCTGACGGATCTGGATGGTGTGGTTTGCAAAAGAGAAGGTGGCGAGAGGCTTATGGAATTTCTGGAGCCCTATCTCCATGCTCTCCTCATAGGGTACCAGGGCCATTTCTCCTGAGTCTCTTTGCTGAAACCTGTCATGCAAAAATAATCCTTAGTGGCATCGTATCTGAAGTAACTTCAGAAAGCTGTTGAAGCTATCTACAAGTTCAAGCAAGAAACGGGTTGAGGTACATGCAATTTCTTCAACAACTTTTCCTCCGAGTCTTATGGGAAGTAAAATTTGGTTCTGAATTCGTGTCTACTGATACTTCTGGGGGAAAATACCTAGACTCGACAACTCCGTGAGGGGCGTCCTACACTCTCCTGCTACTCTACATGAGTGTGGAGCTGTATAATGGTGCACAAAGTGACAGTAATAGCCCTGGGCATCTCCCGGCTCCCATGTTTTTGCTATTTTTGTTTTGTTTTGGGTCTTCCTGCCTACATGCCCACGTTCAGGGGGAAGATGGAGCCGAATGGATCCTTAGGCTGAATCTTGGCGGTTTGCCTGACTTTTGATCCTCGCTGGCTCGCTATAGAGGAGTAGAGTCACTCTGGAGGCGGGAGTCGACCACACTGGCAGAAAACGTGCCTAGAAG